GTATGCCCAGAACCATGCACATTTTGATGGCGCTGAGCAGCTAAGCATGTAATTTATATTTATGCACTGTCAGGGTTTAAAAACCAATCATTTCTCTGAATCTAGTTGAGGATTGCAAAAAGCGTTTGCACCAATTCCATTCTCAGCAAATTGAAGTGTTTTGTTCTTATTTCCATTTTATCCAGTATTTGTTCATCCTTTTTTTATTTTTCTTTTTTTTTTCTTTTTCTTTTTTCTTTAAGAGTCAGACATTTTAAGTCTGTCTCTTAAGTAAGAACAGTTAAACTCACACAAGCATGTCCTAACCATTAGGCTGCGGTCTGGTGGGTTCTGTAAACCTCCTGCCAGGTCTTTTTTGCTGTTTTCCATGCTGATTAACAGTTACCTGAGCAAGAGAAAGGAATAGGGTTTGCAGTTAGTGCATGAACCCAGGAGAAAGGAAGGAAGCTGCATTTACACCATGCTCCAATGAATGCATACATTACTTATGTTAATTAGAAGTGGGACTCAAGTCTAACTCCCTTCCCTCCAGTAGTTGACTAGCCTCTGGGGTTCAAAAATTACATTCACTAATGTCTCTGTTTCTCTCTCTCTGGTCCAATTCGTAGTGAATTATCTCATGCAAAGCACAGTGGCTTAAGGAGAGAGCTGAAATACCCACCCCCTCCTGATGGCCTGCTGGTTAGTGCGGAGGCTTGATCTCTGGAGGCACAGAGATGATAGAATCACAGAAGCAGAGAATAGCTTTAGGTTGGTGGGGACCTTAAAGATCACCTACTTCCAACCCCCTGCCTTGGGCTGGATGTCACTTATCAGCTCGGGCTGCCCAGGGCCCCATCCATGGTCTTGAGCACCTCCAGGGATGGGATACCCACAGCTCTGGGCAGTGCCAGGGAATCACCACCTTCTAAGGAGAGAATTTCTTCCTCATATTTAATCTGAATTAATCCTCCTTTTGTTCAAAGCCATTCCTCCTTGTCCTATCGCTATCAGATTGTGTACAAAGGTCTGTCCCCCTCCTGCTTGTAATGTCCCTCCAAGTACTGCAAGGCTGCAATGAGGTTTCCCCGCAGCCTTTTCTTCTCCAGGCTGAACAAGGCAAACTCCATTAACCCCGCATCTTTCCAGGTATAAGGAAGCAATCTTTTCTTCTCCTCCACAGAAGATTCTTTTTTCATAAATGTTTTTTATATTTCTTTACTTATTTAACAAGAGACTAAGCTATTTACTTCCGAGAGTATTATCACACTGTCAGTTCCCTAGGAGGACAAGGCAGTACCTACCCTACAGCAGAAAAAAACAAGCTCTAAACTTTCTGAAGTTGCAGAATTCAAGACACAACACCCTATTTGCATTTCTTATTACCCAGCCTGGATGGTACCCTATTGACAGAAGTGGCTTTTGCAGATCTCCTTTTGCTCCTAATGCTGGCTTGGCTGCTGTGAATTCTGCTTGGCAGCTTGACTGACAGCACTGTAACAAGCAGCACAGTGACATATTATTCACCTTCACAGATCTGACCCAGAGTGATTTATTAAGTCTCACACAAGAAGTGTGCAGCAGACTACAGGGCTGAACTTGTCTCCTGAATCTTAATGTAGTACCTGACCTACAGGATCATCCCTCTCTGAAGACTTCACTTCTGAGAGTCTTAACAGCCAGATGCTTTTCAGTCACATTTTGACATCTCAGAATTCAGTCATGAACATATTCCCTAGGACGAATTCTGATTTGTGGGATCAGAAACTCAGTTATGTTTATCTTGATGCCTCATGGTTAATGCTTCACTTTGTAATGTGAAATATAATTTCACTCTCCAGCTTGGTATATCGATGGTCTTTTTCCTATTTTAACTTATAAAGATGAATATGTTTCAAAAAAGTTGTCCATAAGAAATAAAATCAAATTATTTTCCTCTTTTTTTCCTTGCTTTTTAAAATGTGGCATAGATAGGAAATGCCATTCTGACTGACAAGGTCTTAAAGAGAAGACCTCCCAGAAGGCTCAAGAGAACTAACTTTGGATTGAAGTAAAGTTTTGTTGGCCCTTGGTGGAAACAAGGGTAGCTGAGTAGCAAAACAAGTTATTTATTTGCATTTGATGTTCTATCATATGTGTGGGAGTTAACAACTCTATGATTAGTATGGTAAGTCTGAACAAACCAACTATTCCTGTTTGAGCCTAGTCATATTAACTCAATTAAATATCTTGTAGCCTGCACATACCTAATGATAAAATGGAGACAGGATAAAGAAAAAGATTGTTATAAGATACACAGGCCTGAGCATTTGTGCTAAACAATAATCATGACACTGAGGCAGATGACAGAGATCAGAGGCAAATAAGAAACCTTATATGGGGGAATGTTTAGCTGACGTTTTTCCAAGCAGACAAAGAGCTCTTCAAGCTTTGGAAACATTTCAGATTTGAGAATTCTCATTTCAAAACCTAGAAAAAAAAAGCACTGCCACGTTCATTGTGAAATGGAGGTTGGGAAAGAGAATAGTTAACTTGTAGATTTGCCCTTGTTATTAAAACTTAAGTTTATTTGAATTTCTCTTTGTCATTCTACAGATGGCCACTGTTAGGCACTAAAACACTTTTTAGGATTTTATGTAAATGTTTTTATAAATCCTAATAGGCATGATTCCTCTCCTCTCCTCTCCTCTCCTCTCCTCTCCTCTCCTCTCCTCTC